ACCAACTCCAAGCTCCTTGACCACACAGAGAAACAAGAACATCTTTCCACAGATGAACAGTCAAACAGCACCATTTGTGGTGCTGTAAGACAGGGCATTGAGACCTGACTACTCTCTTAATACCTTCATTATGACTGATGGATTTCAGAGGTGCTGAACCTTTTCTGATCTCCACATTTCCTCTTCTGAAAAAGTGGCAGTTGAACAAGACAGACTCTTTCCAGGATCCAGGTTCTTTCAAGTTATTTGAATAGATAATGAAATATTTAAATATCTTACCCTGTCCCTTCAATTATGAAAATAGGAAACTGTCTCTATATGCATCCTTTTATCTTCCAAATTAAGTTTAAATTTAAAGCCATTTAGGGAAAAAATAATGTTCTAGTCTTCACCATGTACCTTGAAGGGGCCTCTTTACAAATAAATCTTAGCAGAAGTTTGGGCTATGATTTTCCTGAACTAATTCCTCATATATGTTGATATTTTCCAAATACCATTGAAAGATGACTCATGAATTTTCTCTTTATATACTTGTTATCATTACAGACTCTAAACTCTAACTGCTTCCAGTCTGAAGAAAAAGTTACATATAGACACATCATGATATATATATATATATATATATATATATATATATATATATTTCTATAAGGAAGTGAACTTCCAAAGCCAGTTCTTATGTAAAGATGTTTGACCTAAATTTGTGTTAAAATTATCCATTTATGAATATGCAATGCCCATCTAATATGAAAAAGAAGGTAAAAAATTAAAACTGCTAGTAACTAAGACTGGGAATTTTTATAATGCTTCCAAAGATAAAATAAGTTAAAATATTTATTCATATTTATATTCAGTAGTAAACTATGAAATGCTTTTGTCTTATCTAATATTATTAACAATGTGAAAATATACATTTGATAATATTTTAAGATATTTTTGATGGCAAGATGCCCATCAAATTTATGTACTCGGAACAAGTGGCTTTGACAAAGTGTGTCTGAATTGGCATTTCTGGATTCAGTGGAGGATTTGTAACTAATATCTTGATGCTCTGTTAGAATGACATTGAATTTGTTCTATTTTAGTAGGCACATCCAGATGTACCTTCATTTTATTTTTTTCAATTTTATATGCTCTCCTTTGCTAAACTTAGAGATTTGAGTAATATTTTTGAAATGTTACCTCAAAATTTACTAGTGATTGGTCCAATTGAGTTCATTTTAGGAGAAACTGAAGTGTTTATGCTTTTCCTATCAGGTAGGTAAGAGATACACAAGTGGATGTATTTATTTCTGGGTAACAACAAGGTTTTCATTATTCTAAGTAAGAACAGGTGTAGTTTACAAAATCAAAAGATCCAATGTAAACCAAAAGCTTTATTTTCTATTTATCAGTCCAAATTCTAATTGATTTGAAAATAAATAATTAAAACATGGCACCATAATCTGACTGGGGCCCTACTAAATCTGTATAAAGCAGATATGGACTGCAGGAACGTGATAGGTTACTGTGCTCAATTTGTGTTACAATTAAGAGTTTCTCTCCTTCACATCTTTTCTCCAATTGTTTTTGGCTTCTACCAAATGTTGTCTATACAATGTGAAGGACTTTGAAAGCAGCCACAGCCTGTTTTTCCCTTTCGTGTCTACTCTGCAGTATTTCCAGCAGTGAAATTTCAGGTAAACTTTCTTTTCTTCGCTCATATGTTGGATTTTTGCTTTCCTTTGATGATTGATCAGTCAGATTTGATGATTTGGGTTTGGGGATGGTCTTAGCATATTCCAAAGCCTAAAAGCATAAAGATAAAATTTTACTTAAAATGAGAAATAAATAAGTCCTAGATTTCTTAAATTGAAGGCAGTTTTATGAAATGTTTATTTATAACATAAGTAGAGATGATTGCCACAATATGGGTGGAAATCGAAATCAAATGGAAAACACAAACAAGGCAAGTTTAAACACCCATTTTAAACAAAATAAATTAGCCACAAAACATTATGGTATGGGCATAAACCGAGGAGTGGGATAGCTAGGTCAAGTGGTGGTTCTATTCCAAGTTTTCCAAGGAATCTCCATACTGCTTTACAGGTTGGTTGCACCAGTTTGCAGTCCCACCAACAATGTATGAGTGTGCCTTTTTCCCCACATCCGCACCAACACTTATTATTGTTTGTAATAGCTGCCATTCTGACTGGAGTGACATGAAATCTAAAGAGTAGTTTTGATTTGCATTTCTCTAATTGATAGAGATGTTGAACATTTTTTCATATATTTGTTGATCAGGTGTATCTCTTCTTTTATGAAGTGTCTGTTCATTTCCTTAGCCCATTTATTGACTGGATTTTTTTTGGTGTTAAAGATTTTTGAGTTCTTTATATATCCTAGAGATTAGTGTTCTATCTGA